AGACTGCATAACACTTTTTTCAATTACAATTACTTTTTGTTTTCGTTGTTGTTCTTTTCTTCTTTTCCCCTTTTAGTTTTTGAATATCAAGATAAAATATGTTTATTAAACTAGATACTGTTCCCGAAGACACATATCAAGTCTTATTTGGGCTCTTTGTCAACTTTATTTCCCTAGGAGTGTCATTCAGAGTTCACGCCACTTGCCCTGAACACGTAGGAGGCATTGGCCACAGGTAGCATATAAACATGAGCAATGATGATTTTCATCGTTCCAACACACGATGACTCAATCGCTCGTTAGGCCTTTGTAGCCGAATTTTTCTTTAAGAAATAAAGTAATGAGATCCTTGGTGAGAAGGTTCAAGTCTCTAGATTGAAACTCTACTGTTTCCTAGCAAATACTATCATATTAATATCATTAATGAAATATCAAAAAAAAAATATCATTAATGAAATTACCGCTTCCTAAAATAAAGAAAGAAAGAAAAAAATCTCTATTAGTGGTGGGCTCGATATCGCGAGAGTCATTTAGGTTTTTCAACCAATTTCGGCCCATGGTCAAGTGTGCTAGATTCTCTGGAAACTGAAGGTCTTTTTTTTTTTCTTTTTTTCTCTAAACCTTTATATTATATTTTAATTAATTTAAAGTAACTCACGTCAAATTCCATATGGATGAAGTTCTCATAATGCCTAATATTTATCTTTTTATTTATGAGATTTGAATTTAAAATTTTATTTAAAAGTTTTGTTTAAAAATATTTTTTTTTCTGTAAACAGATTTTGTTTAGAATCGTTGAATTAGTTTGTAATTGTAAAATTTTTGGTTTTATTGTTATCTTAAAAATATATAAAATATATTAATATTTATTTTAATTAATTTTTATATATTATTAAATAGTAAAGAATATTAAAAACTAAAAACTAAAATATCAAAAAGCATTCTTAAAGGAAATTTAAAATGCATCAAATATTACATTTGCTGATTTAAAAAGTAGTAGAATTTTTTACCTCAATACCCGAATGCGTTAAGATATCTTTTCTTTTTTGATAGTGGTAAGATATCTAATTAAATCAAAACAGAAAATATTAATGAATCCACTTGAAAAAAAAGATAAGATGTTTTCTACATAAAAAATGTTAGATAAAAAAAATATTATTTAGTAATTGGTGAAATACATTGAATCTGTGGAAATACATATCTTATGTAATAAATCAAAAATGAAAAGTGCCACCTGGGTTTTCAAACTTTTCGCCTTCTCCACCCCCCCCCCAAAAAAAATCTTCTTTGTTTGGCAAAATCCTAAGACAACTGAATTTGGAAAGAAAATAAAAAAGAAAAAGAAAAAAATCTTAAGAAATTAAATATAATCTCCAAGAACATTCACCCTGTCCATTGCTACAACTCACTGGATAGAATATTTCCTTTTAATTTTTTCAATCCACAGAATATTCTATTGAATATGGAAATTATAAATCATATTTCACTTTTTAATTTTTAGATCATTCTCTTTCAAGAAAATGCAGACCCTTTTGCATCTTTTCCAGACAATCCAGCTCACCAATTTTTTCTTATATATACAAAGCCTAACGCTAAACTTTGATATAGTAAACTAATAGCAATTATTACCTATCAAAAGAAATTTAAGAACAAAAATGGAGGGAAGAAAAAGTAATGAGAGTCAGATGAAGAAAACAGAGGACAAGGACACGTCCTCCTCACAATGTCAATCTGGGTTCCACAAAAATTCAAATGAACTCGTTAATTCATGTGTTGCAGAAGATAGGAAAAATTCACTAGAATCCTTTGGGAATGGGGATGCAGACTATCTAGTGGAAGCCCACCACCCGGCTAACGCTGCTAACCTCGTTGATCAACGTAATGATGAGCTGCTTCGCCTACTAACAGGGGAGCAAAGGAGTGAAAGTGTTAATTTTGATCAAATGGCTGCCGAAGGGATAGGATGGTGGACTAGGAGGCTGGATAAGATGAATCGGGAAGAGTTCCAACAATTCTATGCTGCATTGGGGATTCTTAGGGAGAGGATGCAAACTCATTTGCAGCAACGAGTCAGAATTACGGACTCTAATTCTGCGCAAACGAGCTCCTCTAGCTCCAATACCTCTACTAATGGTAGTGCTAGGCGCAAACGACGTTGATCATATTTTTCTTGTGGAATTTTAAATAAAATATTGTAATTTTCCTTCCCTTCTAGTGATTTCAAGTTCGTAATTTTCTATTATTGATCAAAAAATAGTTTTTTTATAAGAGAGAGAGAGAGAGAGAGAGAGAGAGAGAGAGAGAAAAGAGAAGGATTGCAAGCTTTGAAAAATCTTATAAACTAAAACCTTAATCGGAGTTGGACTTAACTAGTGAAGGACATTCCAAGTTCAAACTTATTCTCTCAAGATATATTTTCCCTTTTTCTCTTAACAGAATTATCAGAATTATGCTTCAAAAAACGATATAACAATTTGAGCTTGATTGAAATGTTAGGTGAACCATAACAGATATATATACACCGTTGAACCAGACTTATTTTGGTGTTGAAGGAGAAGGGTAATGAGATCGTGAATTTCAAGGCTTAGCACCACATGAAGTAACGAGTTGACTGAGTTTTTACAAACCCAATTAGATTGTACAAGAGCGGACTGTTTTGTCGTAATTGAAAAGGTATCACAATAGTGTGAGCCTATGCCATTTCGTTTTCTGATTCTACAAGACTTCTTATGTAAGTCTTATCTTTAAAACCCTGCGTCTCAAAATCAATGTGGGATCTAGTGTTTGCAATGCTTGCAACGACTCTCTCATTATCATCACCCAAGCGAATGTAGGTTGTTGTTATTTGTTAAGGCACAAGGCACAACACAAGTCTCATCACATTACCCGCCCATTTGGTGCACTTGTTTTTCTTTATACCATTATCTATAGCTTAATCAAAAATGGATTTGTATTGCACCCCCGACTCTTAAGTAACTTGGTTAAATGTTTATTTATTTATTTAGTATTTGGCTAAGGGAATTGTTGCGGCATGTGGGTTCTACATGGTGGTTGAAAAAAGCATGCAAATTTCAGCTTTTGAAATTTGGTTGCATGGGAACTCTCATGGCAGCCCAATTTTGTTGAAAAATTGGAAGTCTCATGGCAGCCTTTGAATGGAAATTTGGTTGCTACAACTTTGTCCATGCAACATTTATTGTGCATGGTTGGATGATGACTTTGGAGCTCATTGCATTCATTGTGGGTGGTTGGCATTTGGCTATAAAAGGCCATTTGGCCATTCGGCAAAGACACCAAGAAGAGCAATCCAAAGCAAAGTGAGCTCTAGAAAATACAAGAGTTTTGTGAGTGTTTTGGGTGAGGGTGAGCAAGAGCAGAGTGGTTAAAATTACTTTACTGAGTGTTTTTTGAGTGTCTCGCATTTAAAAATATTGTGAGTAAGATTTGGGTGTAATTGGGGATTGGGTATTTTTCCTAAGAGTACCACAAAATTGTATCTCCTTATTTTAATATTGAATTTTTCCTTATGAGTGCTCGTGGACGTAGGCTCAATTAAATTGGAGCTGAACCACGTAAATTCTGTCTTTCTTGTGGTGGTGCATTTTTTTATTCCATTAATTTCTTAATCTTATAGTGGGTTAACCAAAATCTCAAGCAATTTGTTCCAACAAACTGGTATCAGAGCTACGGTGTTGGTTAGTGCTTGAGAAATTGGTTTAATCTTGATGGCATTTGGAGCCAAGTACGAGATTGAGAAATTTAATGGTGGCAAAAATTTCAACTTATGGAGGTTAAAGATGCGGGCCATGCTAATACAGCAGGGGCTGTGGAAAGCACTAGAAAGGGAAGCTAGGCTACCGAAAACTCTACCAAAGGAAGATAAGATAGACTTGAAGGAGCGGGCGCTGAGTGCAATTCAGCTCTCACTTTCGGATGAAGTCTTGGGGGAGGTTGCAGAAGAAAATTCAGCTTCTGCATTATGGTCGAAGCTGGAAGCCCTTTACTTACCAAATCAGTCACTAACCGATTATATTTGAAGAAACGTTTGTTCACCCTCAGTATGAATGAAGGTGGTTCCATCAAAGACCATCTTGATGAGTTTAGCAAACTCATTTTAGACTTGAAGAATATCGATGTGAAGATAGAAGATGAAGACTAGGCAATTATTGTTTTGTGTTCATTGCCTGACTCTTATGACAACTTTGTTGAACCTCATCTTTATAGTAGAGATCAACTCTCTATGGAAGATGTCAAGGTGGCCCTAAATTCAAGAGAATTGAAGAAGAAGGTGTCCGGAGACAAGAGTGGCGATCAAGCAGCAGGATTGGTCATAAGAGGTAGACAAAATAACAGAACTTTCAACAAGCAAGGAAAGTCTCGATCCAAATCGAGAGCCAAGCATGCTCGATGTTACGAGTGCAATGAGACGGGACATTTCAAGAAAAATTGTCCCAAACTCAAGGAGAAGAAAGCTGAAAAATTCGGTGATGCCAACATTGCCAATTGCAGTGATAATTTAGATGATGAAGATTGTGTTCTATCTATCTCTACAAACTCCTTCGGTGAGGTATGAATTTTAGATTCAGGTTATTCATTCCATGTATGCCCACGACATGACTGGTTTGAAACATATAAACTAGCCACTAGCACGGTGATTCTTGGTGATGATACAGCGTTGCCTATTGTTGGAATTGGCAACATCCGAATCAAGATGTATGATGGGATGGTCAGAACATTTGAGGTTCGTCATGTGCCGGGTTTGAAGAAAAATCTCATTTCCATGAGTGAGCTTGACTCCGAGGGCTGCCGATACTCTTGTGAAGGTGGAGTTTTCAAAGTCTTTAAAAGAACTCTCGTAATATTGAAAGGGAAGAAAGTTGGTGGTCTTTATCACTTACAAGGAAGCACAGTCAATGGCACATGTGCTGTGTCAACTTCAAGCAGTCTAGATAAAGATGTAACTCGGTTATGGCATTTGCGACTTGGGCATATGAGTGAAAGAGGGATGATGGAGCTGAGCAAGCGGGGTCTTTTGTGTGGCCAGAAAATTGGCAAGCTAGACTTTTGTGAGCACTGTGTTTATGGCAAGCAATGCAAGTTGCAGTTTGGCAAAGGAGTTCATCAAACTCAAGGCACAGTTGATTACATTCACTCAGACTTGTGGGGTCCCTCGCCTGTGGCATCAAAAGGTGGAGCTATGTATATGTTGACTTTCATCGATGATTATTCAAGTAAGGTGTGGGTATACACCTTAAAGAGTAAGAGTGACGTGTTCCTCACCTTTAAGCAGTGGAAGACACTGATTGAGAAGCAGACTGGAAAACAAATCAAGCGTCTAAGAACAGATAATGGTCTTGAGTACTGCAGTGGTGAGTTTGATACTTTTTGCAAGAATAATGGAATTGTGAGACATCGCACTGTCAGGATGACATCACAGCAAAATGTTATTGCAGAAAGGATGAATCGTACACTCTTGGAGAGGGCACGGTGTATGCTCTCAAGTGCTAGATTATCAAAGGACTTTTGGGCAGAAGCTGTCAATCATGCTAGCTATCTTGTAAATCGGTCTCCATCCACAACAATTGGATTAAAGACTCCAGAAGAATTATGGTCAGGTTCTCCTGCTGATTATTCATAGTTGAGGATATTTGGTTGTCCTGTGTATGCTTATGTTAGGGATGGTAAACTTGAGCCAAGGGCAGTGAAGTGCATATTTTTACGGTACGCTTCCGGGGTAAAAGGTTATAGACTGTGGTGTGTTCAGAAGTCACCTCGGTTCCTCATGAGTAGAGATGTAACCTTTGATGAGTTTGCTATGCTCCAAAAAGCAAAAGGGAGTCAACAATTGCAAAGCCAGACCATGGAGTTAGCAAGCAGGTGGAGTTTGAAGCAACAACTCCGGAAAAGGCAGTGCAAGATGACAACATTGTCTAAGAGAATCTAGATGTGGTGTAAGATCTAGAGCTAACAGATACTCCAATAGAGGTGGAGACACCTGAATAAACACAACAGTAGTATAATATTGCTACTGGTAGACAAAGAAGGGAGACCAAACCACCTCAAAGATATGGCTATACAGATTATGTTGCCTATGCTCTATCAATTACAAAACCAGTGGAGGCTGAGGATCCCAACACTTATCGGGAAGCAATTACCAGTAAAGAATCTCCTTATTGGCTTGCTGCCATGACAAAAGAGATTGAGTCTTTACATAAGAACCAGACATGGAAGCTTGTGATGCCACCAAAGGGACAAAGAATTGTTGGATGCAAATGGGTCTTCAAGAGAAAAGAAGGAATCCCAGGGGTAGAAACACCCAGATTCAAGGCCAGATTGGTTGCGAAGGGTTCCACACAACGAGAGGGTATTGATTTCCATGAGGTATTCTCTCCTGTGGTGAAACACAGCTCTATCCGTGTTTTACTTGCCATGGTTACTTTATATGATCTTGAGTTAGAGCAGCTTGATGTAAAGATTGCTTTCTTGCATGGTGAGTTGAAGGAAAGGATTTATATGTCTCAGCTAGAAGGGTTCATAGTCTCAGGAAAAGAAGATCATGTTTGTTTGCTCCAGAAATCCTTATATGGATTGAAGCAGTCGCCTCGGCAATGGTACAAATGATTTGACAACTTCATGGTTAAGAGTAGATTCACTTGGAGCAACTATGATAGTTGTGTCTATCATAAAAAGCTTGGAGATGGTTCTTGGGTTTACTTGCTGTTGTACATTGATGACATGCTTATTGCTGCCAAAAGCATGTTAATCATTGATGATTTGAAGAAGCAGCTTAGTGGTGAGTTTGAGATGAAAGACTTGGGTGCAGCTAAGAAGATCTTAGGAATGGAGATTCACAGTGACCGCAAGGGAGGTAAATTGTTTCTCTCTCAAAAGAAGGACATTGAAAAAGTACTTGAGCGGTTTGGCTTACATGAAGCTAAGGCTGTGACTACTCCTTTGGGAACACATTTTAAGCTTTCATCAAATTTGTCACCAAAAACGGAGGAGGAGGAGAAGTTTATGGCATGTGTTCCTTATGCGAGTGCTGTTGGGAGCTTAATGTATGCTATGGTATGTACTCGTCCTGATATCTCACATGCAGTTAGTGTGGTTAGTCAGTATATGGCTAATCCGGGTAAAAGACACTGGGAAGTTGTGAAGTGGATCCTTCGGTATTTATGAGGCACAACAGATGTTGGACTAGTCTACGATCGGAGTGCTAATCTAAGTGGAAATGTAGTCGAATTTGTCGACTCTGATTTTTCCGGCATTTGGACAAAAGGAGATCAACTACAGGATATGTCTTTACTCTCTCAAGGTGTGCCATTAGTTGGAAAGCTACATTGCAATCAATAGTCGCCTTGTCAACAATTGAGGCAGAATACATAGCAATTACTGAGGCAGTAAAGGAAGCATTATGGCTAAAGGGTTTGGTCAGTGATCTCGGGGTAGAACAAAATGAGATGATGGTGTTTTGTGATAGTCAAAGTGCCATTCACTTGACGAAAAACACCATGTACCACGAGAGAACCAAACATATTCAAGTTCAGTATCACTTTGTCCGGGAGGTTATATCGAATGGAGATGTGCTCGTTGAAAAGATATCAACTGACGAGAATCCTACGGATATGATGACAAAGCCGGTAAGTGGAATCAAGTTCAAGCATTGCTTGGACTTGATTAGTGTCCAAAGTGCTTAATGCCCCTCGAGGCATTGTAGCATCAAGGGAATGAAGCTATTGGTCCTTAATCTTATTTTTCGAATGCTCGCCAAGGTGGAGATTGTTGTGGCATGTGGGTTTTGCATGATGGTTGAAAAAAGCATGAAAATTTCAGCCTTTGAAATTTGGTTGCATGGGAACTCTCATGGCAGCCCAATTTTGTTGAAAAATTGGAAGTCTCATGGCAGCCTTTGAATGGAAATTTGGTTGCTACAACTTTGTCCATGCAACATTTATTGTGCATGGTTGGATGATGACTTTGGAGCCCATTGCATTCATTGTGGGTGGTTGGCATTTGGCTATAAAAGGCCATTTGGCCATTTGGTAGAGACACCAAGAAGAGCAATCTAAAGCAAAGTGAGCTCTAAAAAATACAAGAGTTTTGTGAGTGTTTTGGGTGAGGGTGAGCAAGAGTAGAGTGATTAAAATTACTTTGCTGAGTGCTTTTTGAGTGTGTCTCGCATTCAAAAATACTGTGAGTAAGATTTGGGTGTAATTGGGGATTGGGTATTTTTCCTATGAGTACCACAAAATTGTATCTCCCTTTTTTAATATTGAATTTTTCCTTATGAGTGCTCGTGGGTGTAGGCTCAATTAAATTGGAGCTGAACCACGTAAATTTTGTCTTTCTTGTGGTGGTGCATTTTTTTTATTCCATTAATTTCTTAATCTTGTAGTGGGTTAACCAAAATCTCAAGCAATTTGTTCCAACAGGAATGGTTGTGTTTTTGCTCATAACTATAGTCGTGGTTTGACATATCTAAGCTCGTAATGAGCGATGAAAGGAGATTCCTTCATGATTAAAAAAAATTATAATTCTTGAACATAAATGTGAATACAATTATTATTATTATTATTATTATTATTGTGTTTTTTTAAATAATTAATCCTTAATTCTCTTAATAATTAATTTGTAATTATCCATAGCACTAATTAACCACAGCACTAGAAGTTGCCCTCTCTAGATATACTTAGAATAGGGTTTAATGAGCTTTATTTGCATAAAAACAAAAATATTCTCTTATTTTCCCTTTCAAAATTTCCAAACTTTGCCAACAATCTAAATAATTTAATAAAATCTTCTACTAGTTAAAATACAATGTCTTAAATTTGAGTCACATAATATATGGATATGATAAGTTAAAGAATAAGAGGTAGTTATTTCTTATTGGGTAACACAATATTTAAAAAAAAAAAAGTCAAAACAAAACAAAACTTACCCTATTTGAGTACACAACTAATGTTATTGATAAATGCGATGCATGCGAATAGAATAAAACCTTAATTCATCCCACAAGGATCAAATTCACGTTAACAATGATCAAGCCCTAACATTTTTGGATTGTTGAATTAGGAAAATCCATCTATCTAATAGAATAAAACCCTAATTCATCCTGCCTGAATCAAATTAGCGTTAGCAATGATCAAGTCCTAACATTTTTATATTGTTGAATTAGGAAAAACCATCAATCTATTTACTTCATCGACGCACGTTTTGTGTTCCTCTTTCCCCTTCCCCTATTGATGCTTATCCCTATCCATTGCTTTCCTCTATCTAGCTATATATCATTTTCTATCTTCTTCTCCTCTCCTTTTCAATTGTTTTGTTTCGCTTAATATTTTTCCTTTTAACTTGTTCAATTATATTAAAATATAGCTCGACAAATAGGGAAGTCTCCTCTCTTGTGTCTTCCCATTTAGGCCACAAGGGTTTTTGTGCTCCTAGCATGGGGCATCGTCCCTTCTGTTGATAACGAGGGTTGGGTCCTTCCTAATAGCAACAAGTGTTTGTTGATCCCTTTTGTGAATGCAATTTGGGTTTGCATTGAAGTTATCGTCTTGGCGTCCATGGCTTGTTGGTGTTGGATCCATGCGTGCCCATTTTGCAGGTTTTTTTATTACATATATAAAGTTTTAGATTAATTAGTTAATTAGCATTAGGAGGATGAAAGATGGATTTGAAGTTTTTCCTCGATCTAGAGAATAGGCTTTTTCCATTGAGGTGCTGCTACTTTGTGTTTTTAAACTGATATGGCGATCTATTCATTTTACCCATAAGGTTTTTTTTTTTCTTTTAATTGTTACATTTGCATTATATTATACGATCTTATAGTCCAAGATATGTATATTTTTTTTCTTCTTGGAAATACAAACTTGTTTAGCCACGGACGCTATTAATATTAAATATATATATATATTTTGCATTTACTGATTAAGAAAATAGTAGAATTTTTTTATTACAATATATACACAAATGCCGTAAAGATATCTTCTTTTATGTTAGCGGTAAGGCGTCTAATTAAATCAAAACAGAAAATATTAATGAATCATTTGAAAAAAAAAATACTTTACATCAAAAAAATTTTACTACGAAAAATATTAGTAACTGGTGAAATACACATTGGATTTGTGGAAATACATATCTCATCTCTCGAACTAAAAATGAAAAGTGCCAACTGGGTTTTCTAATTCTCTGATTTATTTATTTTTTATTATTTGTCCAATTTTTCTTTGCTAGTTAGTTTTTTTAATTCAAAAAATTAATTATTTGATATTATAAAAATTTAAATATATAATTATAATTTTAAATCAAAATTTTCAA